GGGGGGGGGGGTCATGAAGGTGAGTTTTCCAGAAGTGCTCGAAGGTGGGAACTGGATGCACAGCAAGGTTTGACCTGAATGCTTTTCTCCACAGGTGCCCTGATGATCAGATCAGAGGACACTGGCTTTGTGGTGATAACAGGTGTGATGAGTAGGAGATACCTCTGCATGGACTTTAGAGGCAACATTTTTGGATCGGTGAGTTTCTTTTTGTGCTGGTCACCATTTGCAAATAATTATCTAATTTCTTTGACAGAGCATAGATGATTATAGCTTGAAGATTCCATTTGCAGAATGCCTTGGTGATTTGTTTTCAGAGCACTTTTTTCAGTCTAAATAGTAAATGCTCAGGTTTATACACCTGGGGTTTGGACCCAGGTAGTCTGGCTCTGGAGCCCAGGCTCTTAGCCTGTAATCCAAACTGCCTGTTAGTATCCATTTTTGTGTCTTAATACAGCACCTTGCATGTAGCCGTAGGTCCTTTAGTCATTAAATTCATGTCACAAAGTGCATTAGAAAGAGTGAGAAAACACAGGTATCTTCTTGATTCTGTTACTAGACCTCCTTGACCTTGGTCAAGCCCCCTCATTTCCCTGAACCTCAGGTTCCTCAACTGGAAAAAGTAAAATGGGATGGACCACATGCCCTGTGGGCTCCCCCTAGATAAAGGTCTCTAATTAATTATCTCTGCCCCAACTGTGCTGGCTAGTCCTTCAGATAGATATGCAAAGGATTTCCCAGACTACAGGTTGCAGGCACAGTCCAAAGGATTTTGAGATGGTACAACAGCGGGACTGCTTACCTCAGGAGCCTCTTACCAGCAGACAGACCCGCTAGAAATTCCGTGAGAGCCATGACTTTGTTTTGCTTACTGCTCTGTCCCAGGATCTATAAGGGTATCTGACCCAGAGTAGATAAATATCTGTTGAAGAAATACAGAAAATTAAATGAGTAAATAAATAGCTGTTGACTGCATAGACATAGTTCTCATGTGTAAAATATTATTTCATGGAGTTTGAGGATTAAATTAAATAATATGTAAAGGTGCTAGCAGGCACTCTCTCAACACAATCCGGTACTAGTTAGTGGCGGAGTGAGGGCTCACAGCTAGGTCACCTGCTGCCAAAGTGCAGCCCCTAACTCCCAAACTACATTCTCTCTCTGATGTCAGTACCCTCCTTCAAACTCCATCCCACCCCCTTCCTCCAGGTAAGGAAACAGGCTCAAGCCACCTTTCGGCCGAAAGAGGGTTGAGAAAGGTGGAGAGTAGGAAGGACGAGGTGGCGTTTAAGGTAGCCGGCCCTCCAGGGGCAGGCGCGGCGCTGCGGCCGAGTCC